GTATTTAAGGTAACATGTTTATACATGTTTATACTGTATTTAAGGTAACATATTTATACTGTATTTAAGGTAACATATTTAAACTGTATTTAAGGTAACATGTTTAAACTGTATTTAAGGTAACACTGCATTAATTTCTCAATCAAAACTAAAGTACATTTATGTAAATAAGAATAATTTATAGCAGATCTGTGAAAACAGTTTCTCACCATCCATTCCAGCTGGGGGTCCCTGCTGTACTGCAGCATAAGGAGCATGTGGCTGAGGGGGCACTCCGGGCTGATGGGCTGCAGATGAAGATGAAGCGATGCTGTCAGGTGTTCCTGAGCGCTCCTCTGCTGCAACTGCTGGAGCCACTACTCAAAAGAAGACATATTCAGAACAAATATGAACGCTTGGCAGGAAAGGCTTTTACGTATTTGTCGTTGTGGGATGTGCAGTACCTGGGGCTTGGTCCTCGCTCAGACCGAAAGCAGAAATTACATTCTTGTTGACCTCATCCTGGTTTTTTAATGGGTCAAATGCTGACATGCTGGCTGCACTGACTGGAGGGGCCTGTTTCACTGAAGAGTCTGCTGCTACAACTTTGCCTTCACGTCCATCTACCGACTCTACAAACAAATCCAAAAGATGTTTGAGAAATAACAATGCAATGCAGCTGATCATCATATTAAATCATATTAATAACATTTTTAACAAATTTATTGCGATATAAAAAGGGAAGCTTTAAGTTGTAGAATTATTTTGCGCATTTTAGCTAAAATAAATTACTTTTATTTTCAGAATAAGACAAGATCAGAATTTCTTTTTTCAATGTAGTTTACTTTTTGAATGCAGGGATGTGCCATGATTACTAGTGTGTATTTTTTAGGTGAATTAAAAAAGTCTAAAGTTGCTCTTATGAAGCAAAAAAAAAAAAAACAAAAAAAAAAACCTGACTTTATGGATCAACATTCAATAATAACTCCACACAGTTGTCATAAGATGATTTAGAAAGAGCCCATTTCTGATGTCATCCATAAATTTGGGTTAGTTTGACCACAAACGGGACAGAACTGGTCTGTTACAAATTCAGTATGCTGTTGAAGACAAATAAAAAAAATTTAAAAAAATTAATTAAATTATTTCCAATGACTGACTCTTATAAACTGTCTGGTGCCAGTGCTTGTGTGTTCTCACAATTTTGGCTGTGAAATATAAAGAAATGATTAATTAGGAAGGTCACGCAATCCATTTTAACGACATTACAGGCCTTACCAGAAGCCTAAAAAAACATCACACCCTCTAACTGAAAAAGTGTGCGCTATAATAGTGGACCAGAATCACTGCTGATGATCCGATTACTCTTATGTTCACTCTCACTGAGCACATCTGTAATAGGGCAGAATTTCATCAAGTTTATCCTTAAACAATTTAAATAGCAGCTGTACCCAGCAGAACACAAGTACAGTCTCTAAAGTTTATATCTAGAAGAAAATACTAGCTTATTTTAATAAACTACTTTGTGTTTGTGGAGATGCTTACCACTTTCTGGTGCTGTAGAGGTCAGACCAGGCTCTGAGGGGGGCTCCAGACTGTCAAGGAGGTTGTTGACTTTATTCCTGAGCTCAATCAGCTCTCTGCGCAAATATTTCACTTGACTGGATTCCAAAGGCCGCGGCTGACCATTTACTGCAGGGATTAAAATGAAGAATAGTGACTCAAGTGCAGAAATGAAAGTAATTTGTTAATATGTATTTTAAAATAGTCTCAGTCAAAAAATAAAAAAATAAAAAAGCAAAAAACCCCATTGCAAGCCCCATGCATTGAGCATGCATCAGGATAAAAAAAACCAACCTTTTTTATTTCTGAACTATCTATTTTGTATAAATGTATTACCTAATGCAAACTTAGGGTTTGTTTAAAGATTTGAAAATTCAGAGGTTCTGGAAAGTTTAAAATCATCTCATAACTTAAAAAAATACAAAAGATGGAAAGTGATGTATTTTTAGTCTGCTATTTATTTTGCTCAGAAGGCTTCTGGAGACATTACAAAAAAAGTTAAGATGATGTAACAGACAGTCAACAAATAGTTAAATATGACTTAACCCTTCAGCTACATGTTGGATCAATTGTGTTTAACATTTCAGGAAAACTTTTAGAGCTGTTCATTTCTCTGAAGATGTTTTATTGTTGTGAAGGTGGGCTTTTTTATTTAAATGTCTAACCATCCTATTATAATTTTTTTTTTTTTGTTTTTTCTTTATTGCAAATTCAAGAGAAACAAGGTTCTAAAGTTATAAGAAGGCAGAGAACCATGCAGCTACAGTTTCATCTAAGAGTCTAACTGAGGTGCACAGCAGCAGTTTGTTTTGCCGTTTCTCTGTGAAATATTTTCTGTTTTGTGTGGTTGCATGTGTTGGCTGAACACGATAAGAAAATACTGGTAACGTGTGTGTCATTTCCCACAAGTTTCACAACTGCAGGATTTGGTGAAATTATGTAGAATACCAAGAATACTCTGCAAATCTGACTTGAAAATTATGTAAGTTTAACCCTCATTTTTCTACATAAAGTAGCTGAAGAAAAATTCTGCAATGAAATAATGAAAAGACAGATCTATAGTTCTGTAAGTTCTTAGTCCAAATGAACAACTTTAATAAATATGAGTCAAGCAGAGATGTCAGTGTGATGAAGTTATACCTGTAGTTAATCTTCGCTGTAGGTCTTTATATATTAGCAAAAGTTGGAAGGTAAAATTTCCAAGGGAAGATTATGGCTTTTAACGACCACACAAAGCTGAGTCTTCAGTGGACAAACTGGATCAAATATTGTTGCTAAACTTGTACCATTAGGATGTTTTTTTGTAATTCCTACTCAGCCAGTGATTAAAATGATCAAACAAATTGTGTGCTATAGAATATTAACTAGGAAGACTAAATGTAAACTGCAATCAGAAACAAGCCCCGACTACCTCAAGGTCATTCACCTAAAATCTGCTGGGCTGGTACATTCAACACATCAGGTAAACTGACACAAAACTGGGTCTTTGCAAAAATGTCCATTAACGACCTGCTATTACTCGTTTGCTCAACCACTTCTTACAGGCACTACGAAACTTCAAAGTTTAGTCATGGGGCGTGCTGGAAGCTTCATTAGTTTAGCCAGAGCTGAGGTTTGTTGTGTGAAACATACTGTATGTTGGACTGCCCTCCAGTGACTTTTTGATGTAACAGCTAACAGAAAATCTTTGGCAGTAAATGTGCTTCACATGAAAAAAGCATGAGCAGAAATTCAACGTCTTACCAAATAATGTCAGTTTGAGTATTCTACTGCACTGGATTGCAAAGGAGAGGTCAGAGCTGTCAAAAATAGTGATGAGATCATCATCTGAGAAAAACAATAAATGGGACCAGATTAATATTACATCAGTGCTTCCAAAGGAAATGTGTTGAAAACAAAGTAAACATTTAACTTTTGAGGAAGGCTTGAGAGCAATAAGAAAGAAGAAACCAGAGCACACAAAGTGTCCTAACTCACCTTCATCCTTGTATTTGATGGTGACCTCGTCGTTGCTCTGCAGCTTGCCCCGGAAGACACGTTGCATCATCAGCACCAGCTCATCATATGTAATGTCTTCATTATGGATAGGAATGCGTCTAATGTCATCCCCCAACTGGGCTTTGATTATCAGCTTCCCACTCAGGTCCAGCTGGCCGTTCATGTTGCCCTCTGACCTCTAAGGCTCCCACCTCTTAACAAAGAACAAGAGGAGACTGTTATTAAAATGGCCACAAAGTTGATTCTTGTCGTTAGTGCCGTCTCTTTGCAAATAACTCTATATCCCAAAAGTAACAGAAATATAAACCAAATTTATGCACAGTAACGTGATTAATTTTCAGCAGGGAAGGTAGTATGTGTGTGAAGGGTTAAACATAAATAAGTTGATATTTTTACAATTCTTTTAAAAAGTGAAATCATGTTTCTTGTATTTATTCACATCAAACTGAGGACTTGGTATAACAATAAATCTGTGAGCAGTAAGTAGATTAACAGGTCAGGAAGTTGGTTGCTAAAAAAAGTACCTGATGAAAAAAAAAAGAACGCAACTGTATTGAAATTACATTTTTTTCAGTATTGTAACTACAGTCGCCAGTTAAGTCAATTCACATTACAAAGTTCAAAGACAGGGACCTTATTCATTTGCTCAATACGTTTCCCAAACTAAAAAAAAAAAATCATGCAGTTCCACTGAACTGTAGAGTCTAAGGGTCAGAAATCTGCCAGTGAAGTGGCAAAGACTTACTAATGATCACAAACCTTGTTGACTTTTGACCCTAAATCATTTTGATAAGAAAAACCTTTCACCTGAATCATCATTATCCCCAATTTATTAGCATATAAAACAGCTAAAACTAAATAATTTCTATACCGTTTCACTTATTCTTCAGATATAGACTAATAAAATCCCTTAAGGAGTTTACCAGGTTGAATTTTGATATTACATATAGATTCAAGTCATGCCTTTATATGCAACACCCATTGAATGATTTGAGCTCAAACAAGAACTAAACACCTCAGATGTGGAGCTAAATCCAATTAAAGCAAAAAGTGAAAAACTAAAATCTAAATGGGAAAATGTTTTTGAGGCAATGATTTGTTTAAAAACTTGCTACTTTAAAAATGATTTGCCAAGTACAAAATCTTTATAAACATAATGTATATTGTTGTAAATAAGATTGTGCTTGTGATTTAGTAATATGACACATATTGTCTGCGTGTTAAGTCACCAGCTGATGTGGTGAGCTAGACAAAATCCAGCTGTGAACAGAATTCCAGAAATGCTTCAGCTCTGGCCAGATGAGTAATTAGCTAGATGCTAGGGATTGTGCAGTGGCTAACATTTAGCACACAGTTCCATTGAATGGCGACAAGGAGAAACTGATTTCTACAGTGACGGGACATCTTTAGAAGATCAACTAGACTTGAAACACGCGGCTGAACAGTAAATGAACTGTGTGTCTGTTTAACGATGCTAATTTTAGCACAAAACAGCAATGCACGGTCTTTGACAGCAGAAGTTTTGGTCGGCCATGTTCACCACTGACATGTCATAAGTTACAACACAAGCTGAATACAACACAATGGCAGACTTCTCTATTCCATAGTTTAAATATCGAGATAAAACAGACTCCTTATTTTGACTTCAAAAGCCTATGGGGCAGTAAACAGTGGTTTCCTGAGAAGCTACATTTACTTAGCGGAAAAACAAAGCATAATAAGAGAATATTCTTCGGTTTCAAATGTGTCAACCTCTTCCATTTAAAATGTTCAAGTAGCTACTTTTGTAGTTTAACTTTCCACAAAACAGTCTCAACATTTTTTGGGAAAAAGTAAGGTAGCGCTAGCCTAAAGTATCGTTAGCTTTGTGCTAACATTAACCAGCTACAGCTAATACATAGCTTGCCAGCTAACATACATTGATGGCTTTCAGCTAAATTATATTACAACTAAACTTAATCTCCCCAAAAGTTATTTACCTGAACCAGACGACTTAACCACTTTGTATTCAACAGGTTTTCCCAAAGGGTGAGAATGCAAATCTGTAGCTAGCCTAGCTCGACCCGGGGAGCAGCATCCGGAAGTGTACTCCAGACTGTCAACGTCAACACTACGTACGTGGCAATCTCTCTGCGCAGCCGCAGATAAGGAGAGTTTATGAAAACACCAGGGCTGGGTCATATCATCTCTAAACTCAGAATTTTTGTTAATTAGATTGAAATAAAATATAAAAAACCGTTTTTTTTTTATTACTGAAACAAGGGCTACAGCTGATCAACTGATCAAATAAGGAATATTTAAAGGAAGAAGCAAGTAAAGATAATGGATGGATGAATGGAATGCATTAATAGATATAGGCTGCTCCCTTCTTCAGGAGTCGCCACAATGACAAAGCTCACATGGAAAGATTTGGCAAATGTTTTATGCTGGATGCCCTTCCAGATGCAACCTGGGGTTGAACCCACAGCCTCAGAATTACAAGAAAGCGGACATCAAATGATAAGCAAATAGTGACAACTACAGATTAGTATTGTCCATGATGAAGATGTTTGGTTTTATTTCTCTGACAAAATAAGTTGACATTGGGGAAGTCCTGGATCTGAAATGAACCTTGCACAATCTCATCTGAAACAGTTCAAATCTCTTTTATGATACAAAACAAATCAATAGCAAATGTACCCCTTTCCTATCATTAATGAAGTGATGCTAAAACATCAGGGCTGAATCAAATTGATGTCAATATTTATGTAACCAGTAATTAAGAAAAATGCATTAAAGAGTCTAAAAACGTTCCCAATCAAATTAAAACACATAAAAAGGAATGCATATGTACTTTTGTAAATTATTCACAAAGTATAATTCACAATATTAATAAATAATATCAGCAACAAAACAGTAACTAACATATTTCTTACTCTAATCCATACAATACATTCATATAGGAAGAGCCATTGTTTTTATAAACTTCCTGCCATGTTTAAAAAAAAAGTAATCATGTTATCCTAAAAAAAAATTCTTATCAAATCAAATCATCATTTGGTTTCCTATTTTGTGTTCTTGATGAGAATATTTCATCTTTCATATTTAAAATGGTCAAACATAAAATTGCAGCAGACTCAGCAGCATTTGTGTCCTTTTTAGTTTCCAGTGTATAGTCTTTATATTGTAACTCATCTAAGAATATAGGGGGGAAAAATTCCAATCAAATTTTTTACTGAGCTACTTCTTCTTCTTTTCCTGAGTTGCGTTGAACCACGAGTCTAGCAGTTTTTTCATGTAATATAACTGCCATGCATGCACTTGAATAGCAACCACCATGACGAGGTACATGACGGTCACGGCAGAGAAACCAAAAATGAAGCGGTAGGCTTTTCCGTGGCGGTAAAGCTGCTGTGCCACAGGAAACATCTCCATACCTCCATAAATAAGAGGTGTCACAGAGAAGAGCCCAGCACTTAACATGGATAAGACCAAGTAACTGATGTTGTTGTGTGGGAGTGACAGGCTGCTGCAGAGCAGAGGGATCAAGCTGAGCAGGTAGGGGTACTCCCACTGGTATGGTACAGACACTGTGTCATGTGACACCAGATTGAAGTGGCTGACAGTCACTTGTGCAGCTACAAGCAGCCAGATCAGAAGGTGGACCAAGTTGAGCTTCTGCACCTCAGACTTCAGAGAAGCACTGCAAAAAAAGACAACAAACAAGGTTGTTATTTCAAAATAAATGAAACTAATGATTAATATCAGATATGGATAAAAAGTACTTGCCTCATCTTGTAGTGGGGGACCACCCTCTCTCTGGGTTTAATGTCACTTCCATTATTAGTACTGCCTGTTCTGTGGCCAACACGGGATGTCATGTTGAGAGAATCCTGCAAAAAACAAAACTATTGACCTTTACTGTAAACAATTAAAGCTGCAGCTCAGTAATTCATCGAATATTCATAACGTTTCCAAACTATGGTCAAATACCAGTAACCACATCATAATATTTATAATGACTTCAGTTCAATACTTGTCAATTGTGATGATCTGAATACTGTGATGAACCTGCACCATATGAACAACGGTGTAACGTGTGTGTTTTAATTGCATGAAAAATAAATCTGACATTGTTGAGGCACAGATAAGTAATGAAACTTATTTGGCCTTTTAAAGCCCGGATGCTGTTTCTTTTTCTTCTTTTTTTTAACACGGAGAAAAATATGGTGATAGCTGGCTAGCGATTAGCCGCTAACGCTAGCTTCATTAATTCCTGAATATTTTATCTTATATCATGTATTAGAGCCGTTTCACCGTCCGTGAGTACGTTAAAATCAGACAGGAAGGAGAATTATTTGCTTACCGCTGCTTATTTCCTGAAGACCCGTGGAACTCGTCGTTTGAATTACGAACTACACTGTAATATACACCGTAGTAATAAGATGTGAATGGAGAACAGTGTGGAGACTGGGCGCATGCGCACTCAGACCGCAGCATCAGCATCTCTCGCCACTCACCAGAGGAGGAAACGAGACAACCCATCAATCTACCTTTTAGCATACATGTTTATGGGATTTAAGATTTGAACTAAGCTTATGGGAATATGCTGTGGCGCCTTACTACAATTCACGAATAAATTAATTAATATAAATACAAAAAAATTATAGAACTATTTTTTTTAAATATCAAGCTATACCCATTATACAATGAAAAATTATCACAGCATCTTATCAAGAACTAGCCTTTTTCAATATTTTGTCTGAAAATGCTTGTAACGTCTTCAGTTGACTACCCCCCCCCCCCCCCCCACACACACACACACATATGTGTGTGTGTGCGTGAGTAATAAAAATGCTAGTTAAATAATAAATTAAAAACAATTTATAGTTTATACATGTTTAGATAAATTCCCAAATGCCAGCTGACACAAAATCTTAGGTCACTATGAACACCAAACTTATTTTCCTTGGATTACTTTTACTTACAGATACTGTTATTACACCAAGATAGCAATAAGTTGACTTTTGGTATATTCAAAATGTTTAACTTTTGAATGAAATGTGTTTTTCTGACACCAAGTTCATCCAAATTGTTAATTTGAATAAAATGGCATTTTAGGCAAGTAAACACATATTATAACACTAAAAGGGATTTCTGATGATGGTATAGTTTTTTTTAAGGTGAAGGTTAAGAATGAATTATGTTTTGAAACATACTTTGTTCCTGATTTGACTAAATCATTATTTGTAATATACTTTCCACCTGCAGCAGATAAATAAATGTAAAGCAAGCTTACCTTATGTAAAATATCAAACAATGTCAGAATATATTTGAAGGCCTTTGTGAAGCTCAAGAAAGTACCCAAGGGTTTTATTGTTTAAATAAACAACTTTTATTAGGAAAAAAAAAACGACATTCATTACAAATTTGGACCAATAGGACATCAATAACTTGATAACAGTCACAATATTAGCACCATCTTAAATCGCCTGTAAAAACACCATCTTTGACTTTTTTGTTTCAGGTGAAATAAATTAAGTGATTTGTTATTACTTTGAAAAAGTCCCATAAAACAGTTGAGGAAAGTTGCATGAATTTCAAATTAAACAGAAAATAAAAATAAATTAAAAAAGGAGAAGTTCATTTTTATTCGATTCATTTTGGATAGAAAAAATTAAACTTCGCAAAAACAAAATTCTTAATTCTGAAAGAGAATTCTGTTTAATCATTGTAAAGTATTATTAAGTGTTCTAACTTTTACAACTGAGCTTATGTGGACTTTACACTCAACATGTTCTTTTATTCAGACCACTGCTATTTGTGTTTTTTATGTTAGTTGTGCTGAATTATTCAATATAGTCCATTAAGTGGTTTTCACAGTTAAAAGTAATTTTGCGTTTAACTTGAAACTCTTTCAATTATTTTCTTTTATTTTCCACAAAAATGTGTCTTTAACGCAAAACAAAACTATCAACACACATTAAAACACAAATTTACCAATAAAATTGTCTTGAAAATCAATCATTTGGATGTCATTCAGCAAAATACTTGCACAGGTTACATTTGAATTTTTACCATGTACTTCTTGACAAAAACAAACAAAGAAACAAACAAAAAACAATAACAAACAGTCCCTTTGTTCCACTAATTTATTTTTTACTGGAATCATTTTTCTTATAAACTCAGTCATAGGCAAGATGCACAACTGTAAAATAAAACAAACATTTTACAAACTGATATAAAAATTGTTTTAATTGTTTTTCCTAAGAGGTCATTTTACATGCTTACCCTAATATGTAGAAAAATATTTAGGCATGCAGAAATAAACTCATTTTCTTTCAAAAAGCAAAAAAAAAACCTTTTTGTTATACTGAATATGTAATATAATGCATGAGTTAGCTGCTAATTTTGAAGTTGTGCAAGGATTAACATTTTCTAAATTGCAATAAATTATTGCACGCCAATCTGTTTTGTCATCTTTAACATAAACTGTAAAAACTATACCTTTGTGTAAAGCATAAAATATTTTTACTTTAAAAGGTTTCCTGCTCATTTTCTGTGTGTGCTAAAACATTTGGAACCATTTTAAGTTTTATGTGGATGCCTGTTTGTACAATATCAAATTGTTTTCAAGCAATAAAAAGCACACACAAACACAAATCTCCAAATATGAACTGCTACATTTTACAATAAAAATCACATCCCTTCATCTTTGCTGATGAGGTCAACAATACACAAAATGTTCGGTCTGACATAAAATAAGCTTCCTTCATTCTTCTCACTGAGGCTTTTCTCTTCATGAATGTTTTCATGTTTACATTGGATATAACAAAAAACCTGAAAAGGACGAATGGACATACTCCCCAGCATAAAGTCCTGAGGCCTGATCTGAAGGCATCTGAATGTACACTGTGTCCCCGGGTTGTAGAGGTAGTACTGCACTTCCTGATGCTTGGTCTAAGAAACCCTTTTTGTATTCATCATACGTGTACATCACTGGCTCATTGTTTCTCATTAAAGCCGCCCACACGTTTGCTCCTTTGCAGTGAACATGGTAGGCAAAGTAATAAATGCCAGGCACATCACAGGTGAATATTCCTGTCTGGGGGTTGTAGTTTTGGCGACCATTGTACAAAAGCTTATCAAACACAACAGGAGTGCCCACCGGTGGAAACGGTGTTGTTGCTGTGGCTGTAAAGGCTGGCATCTCCAGCCCACTAAGACCCAACACTTCTGCACTATTTCCACCATATTTGCTCTTCTTTTCATAACTTCCAGCTTTAACACCATCTAGCCCTGGGGCCATCTGAGAGAGCACTCCAGCCATGTCTGGAGACAAGCCAGGCTCTCCAGGTGCACCAGGAGGCCCAGGCTGACCTGGTTGACCAGGTGGTCCAGATGGGCCTTCTCTTCCCGGGGGTCCAATGGGACCAGGTAGACCTGGACTCCCATTCTCTGCCATTCCTGGTGGACCAGGAGGACCATTTTCCCCTTTAGGACCTGGAGGACCAGAAAGCCCTTCTGGTCCCACTATACCATCCAGTCCTGGATTTCCTTTAGGACCTTGAGGCCCCATTTCTCCAGGTAATCCCCCTTGTCCTCTTGTACCAGGTGCACCTGGGGGTCCAGGCGTACCAGGTAAACCTCTCTGTCCATCAGTTCCTTTGGGACCACTTGGTCCAGGTGAACCTCTTGGTCCTGGTTCTCCACGATCTCCAGGCAAACCATTTGTACCAGGAAGTCCTGGAATACCAAGGTCACCTTTGGACCCATCAAGCCCTTTAGGTCCCTCATCTCCACATTCTCCTTTAGGACCAGGGGTACCTATACTTCCTGGAGGTCCCATGGAGCCTGGGGGACCTGATGGGCCATTTGGTCCAGGAGGTCCAAGAATGCCAGGCAGTCCATCCCGACCCTTGTCTCCTTTATCACCTGGAGATCCAGGTTGTCCACCTATGCCTTTTTCACCCTTTGCTCCTGGAAGTCCTGGTTTACCAAATCCAGGCAGGCCTGTTTTTCCAGGCAAACCCGGTGGTCCTAAATGACCTTTCTCACCGGGTGTCCCTGGCTGTCCTGGCAGGCCATTTGGACCTGGCTTTCCTTGACCAGGTAGACCTGGTGGGCCACGCTGTCCTCCGTTCCCTGTTGGGCCTGGGGGCCCTGGCTCCCCTGGATGTCCTTTATGTCCTGGCAATCCCTGTGGACCCGGTGGGCCACTCAATCCTGGTTTTCCAAAACCAGGCAGCCCTCTTGGACCAGCAAGTCCTTGAGGCCCAGGAAGTCCTTTGTGACCAAGTTGTCCAGGCAGTCCCATCCCTTTGTCTCCTTTAGGTCCTGGTAATCCTGGAAGTCCTGGCAAGCCCTTGTGACCTGGCTCTCCTTTGGACCCTGGTTGACCGGGTAATCCCTGCAGCCCTGGTTTACCTATTCCTGGGAGGCCGGGGGGTCCTGGGGGACCTCGAGACCCTGTCTGTCCAACTAGCCCTTCCTCTCCCCTAGGACCCATTTTGCCCTGTGGCCCACGCTCGCCATGTGCTCCTTGTTTTCCTGGCAATCCTGGCAAACCAAGTTTCCCCATTCCAGGTATTCCAGGTGGACCTGGAGGTCCAGGTTGGCCTACAGGACCTGCCTGTCCAATGCCTGGTGGTCCAAGAGGTCCAGGCTGTCCCTGAGGACCCTCTGGTCCGGGTGGTCCTATTGGTCCTGGTTCTCCTTGAGGAATTCCCTCAACTGCACTAGGGATCGTCAAACCTGTTGGGAAAAACAAACAAACAAAAAACAACACAAGAAATTAAGTTTTCACAACTATAATGATAAATAATTGTCTTACAGAATCAACTGATGTGAAATATGCTGGTGAAGATTCTCAGTCATCCAGGACAGGATGAATTCAAAAAGCGTTCAATACAAAAACAACTGGACTTTATTTGTAACAGAAGACGTTTCGCTCCTCATCCGAGGAGCTTTCTCAATTCAAAGAGCAGAGAGTGAGAGATACAGGTTATAAGGCTGAGTGAGATAAGACACACACACCCATAAGACACACACACACACACATACTGTATATGTATATATACTGCCAATCTACATATACAGTATGTGTGTGTGTGTGTCTTATGTGTGTGTGTGTCTTATCTCACTCAGCCTTATAACCTGTATCTCTCACTCTCTGCTCTTTGAATTGAGAAAGCTCCTCGGATGAGGAGCGAAACGTCTTCTGTTACAAATAAAGTCCAGTTGTTTTTGTATTGAACGCTTTTTGAACTGATGCGAATTTATCATGAATGTGCAGATCAGCCATAACATTATGACCACCAACCGATCAACCTACTGTCAACGTGGTGACATGTCTGAATGTGAGGTTACAGTTTTGATCAAGAAAAATATGGGCTGAGAAATATATATAGTGGTCATTATGTTATTGCTGTTTGGTATAATGTAGTTAAATATACAATGAATGACCACATCTGTTTCTTGAACACAAATGGTTTTAGAGTGTGAAAAAAAAAAGGGATTTTCTAACCTTTATCTTGACCACCAAAATAGTTGACCCCTTTCCGAGCATTTTCTTTGCCTTTGAGTATGGGGATCTGGGGAACATGGGGAATCTGGGGAAGCTCTTTTCTGTAGTGTGGGTACTGCATGTAAGGAACTTCTTTGCCAAGGTACTGTTGCTGAGAGAAGCCTCCTTTGCCCATGCCCATATGTTGAAGGTGTTGTATTTGCTGGTATGGCTGAGAGAGCTGTTTGTGCCCATAGTACGCTCCACCACTTGCATGTGTAAAAACTACAAGCTGCAACAGAGCCATGATGAGGGGGGCAGGGAGGGGAGACATGACCACAATCTGTGCGGGGGGAAAAAAGACAAAATATTACACTTCAGCTGTGTTTACTTCTCGTTTTATTTTTTACATTTTGTTAAATGTTGCATTCAGTATCATTTAACTGTATCTAACAACTCTCTGTGTCCCTCTGGTGGCTATTCTTTAAACAACAAAACCAATGTAAACGCACAAGAGAACTGTGCAAGATGTACTGATGCATGCTCAATAATCCAGGGAGATAATCCAGCACTTTAATGTGTTTAAATTATACGTGTACTAAATTATGCACCCAGTAATACATTCTACATTTTATCTATTCACATATTGGTGAACGAGTTCAGTGTAGGTTGCTCTTAGAGACAAAGTTTGGTCAGTTGTATAATGCAATGTTTAATAATAATAAAAAAAAGAAACATCATACTATGCAAAGTTCTAATATAGACCTTGGTGAAGAAATCAAAATGAGAAAAGTTAAAATAATACAATGTTTTTTTCCACATTTCTTCTTAAACAAACTTTGAGTAGAAACATTGAAAGATTGATATAAAAGTGGTAAACTGCTATGATTGCATGTTTCATACCAGACCAGTACCTGTCACATAATACAGACATAAATTTCAATGTATTGTACTACACATGTAGTTTTCTTTCCAATTAACCTAAGCATAATCTTGCAGTGTGATGGTGATTTATAAACTTAAGTTCAGTCAAACAAGATGCTAGTATTTTTAATTCACTTATATATACATTTCATGCAGGGAACACACAAATAATTATAATATTAATATTTATTGGTAATGTCATTTTAATTTGGCATGTTGTTTGATAGTTAATTAAAGCTTGCCTCATTTTTTCAAAACTTGGAAAGTTCCGCAGTGCTCCAAGGATCTGTCAAATGCACCCATTGGGATTGTTTTACTACACAGCACTAATCATTTTGTAAGACAAATGTTTTTCTTATAAAGAAAAATATTTCAATTAAAAAAATCTATTTTTGTGTGATCCATCCATCCATCCATCCATCCATCCATCCATCCATCCATCCATCCATCCTA